ACACTCCACTGTCAATAATCCCAATAATCACATCTTTACCATACTCAGATGCTGGCCATAGACCTGTGGCAGTATTTAGAGAAAGAAACTTGTAAGTATGGGTGGTGTCCGGCGTGACAATATTATCGGGATAAGCCGAAAGGACGCCCTGTGACTTCTTCAAAGCTCCCAATTCTTCTTTGGACATTACTGCACTGAATCCATGAAAGGCATGGTCATATGTATAGAGAAGCTTTGGCGAAGGATTTTGAGCACGTAATGAGGTTAGTCCAACTGATTTAATGGATTGAAGAGTCGAAGAGTACCAATAATGGTGACTGGAGAAAGCCTTAGGCATCAAAGATTTGTCCATGTGGACAATATAAGTAGATCTTTCTGCCGAAGCCAGCAAAAACCATGAGAACAGGACTATGAAGGCCTCAATCAGCCCCATTTTCCTTATTTTGGGGAGTAGTTTTTTTTTTGGGTACCTCAGAAGCTGATTTATTGCTGATAAACCGTAGAATTTGGTTAATAATTGAACCTACTTGAAAGTGTGGGGCAAAAATAATTAACTGCAAAAACTTAATTTTATGTGGGGAAAAAGCCAGCTGGAAGTCTGGAACGCTGTGAATAATGGGAGTCCTCACTGTGTGCTTATCATTATCTTCAATCCAGGTGAGTGAACAATGATTAATAACAATAATTAATCGATTGGCTTGCAACGAACATGTAAAAGAACATATATTTAAGAAACTTTTTTTTTTTTTTTTAAATCTAAAACCTTCTAATGTTAAGTCAATACCCTGATTTTGATGTATAGTACACAAAGAGGTATGAAGATGAAAGTTAAAAAAAAAAAAAAGAAAAATTGGAGTAAACAAAAGAAGATCAATGGAAAGATGAAAAAGAAGGCCAGAGCACGTAATCGTTGTCCTCAATCTATATTTGTCCCCTCTCAAATTGAAATGATGCTTAAAGAGATTATGACAAATAATTTGCAAGATTAATCAAGTCTTGTAAAGGATTTAACACTTAAACACTAATGAAAATCCTCCAAAACTTGAAGAACACAAAAAGAAGAATTTTTTATTTCAATAATGCGTCGAATAAATATATTTTCAAGAATGATATATTTCGTCTTGCCTTGAACATGATCACTTATATATAGCCCTCAAATGATTCCCATGAAATGGCGCCAAATTCATATGAAAAACCACCAAAATCAAAAAGACAACGGGCCATAAAACGGTCATCTAACGGCTAACTGGTTGTTCTATGCAACCGTATAGAACAAACCTATGCGGTTGCATAGAACAACCAGTTGCAGGGTATCTAATCCCTAGAACGGCCTATGCGACCGCAAACCTTCCTAGCCTATGCTGTCGCATAGGCCAAAATAAAGGAATATTTTGAACAATATTCCCAACATACCCATAACTTAAAATGCAAAGGTACAATGAAATATTTACATAGCCAAGGATATTTTCTCAGTTTTAACATAATCCATGCAGTTATTTAGCCGATTTCTTTAAACTAGAGATCATTGAAATGTCATAAAAACTATTCATTGAAGACACGTTGATTGCTCACCGTGTGCTCGCAATCATCTACCCAAGTGGTTGAACCATCGTTAGTAACATTCCACTGTAACTCGTATAATGTATGCTCATTGTTGAATAAATTAGTGCATGAATTATATTACGTTAATCAAAAATACATGCGTGGGAATACTAGAGTAATGATTTATCGAATCATAGTACGTGCATATAATGAGCAAATCACTACTTACTCAAACGTAAAAAAAATAGAAATCGAAGGAAAAAAATGAAGTGAGGTATACGAATGCAAATCTCTTTAAAATGGATTTTCACCCCTACACTGGTGCTAATAGTATCAAATGGACATTCGTCTACCAAGATATAATGCTTCTTCCAAAATTAATATAGCGTACTATTAATTTTGCCTGACAACCAACACTTGACTGTACTCTTCTAAAATGAAAGATATCGAATAGTAAATATCGAATACGAAACTCAAAATAATATGGAAATTATTTTGAAAAAATTTAAAGAAAGAAAGAAAGAATTAAAAATCAAGTATTAGGAATTGATTTGGAGTAGGAAAAAATGGAACTAAATATTTCTATTTATAGATTTTTCAAGTTATTTTTTGAATGGCTGTATCTTTTAGTATAGACCACACATTTTCATATTAAATGGTGTAGTATGCATCCTATCAAATGGTCATACATTTTTATCATGCACCTTTTAAATAACCACATCCATTCTAAGCAACATGACTCTATGTATGCATCCTTTGCATTGAAGAATTGCACTTATTGGAGACTTATTCAAATTCACTATAAATAATACCAATTATTTCAAGAATCCCCACATGAATGGAATAAGTCAACTTAGAACAAGAAAGATGAAAAGGAGTACAACTGAAATATAATACATCAGGATCGGTAGCTTTCGCTTTGTATCTTCCCTAGTAAGAATCTATCGAACTTACTTGACTAATTAGTGAACGCAACATTTTGAACTGTCGGCTATTTTTGTAAGCATAGGTAATAGATCGAATACATTATCTCTCATATCAAACTTTGGTTCTCTAGTGTGTTCTTTATTTTAGCCCTAAAGCTTCTTGGTTCTGTAAGTGCACTAGAAAATTCGCCTATGTAAAATTCTCATAAAATCGGCCAAGTTCGTACTCACATAGGTGGTGTTCTAAAAAAGTATCCTACAATACTCCAGTTGTACTATTTATAAGATATAGTCATCATTAAAAGTATAGTTTATCCTAATCAATCTTTTGTAGGCATCACTTATTTGCATCATAGAAATGAGAAGGAGTTAAAACTCCGAAGTGACACTTATTGAGTCAATCATAACTAGTTTTCCTATTGAACCTAATCCATGGAATCTCCAGTCATTGGGTTAGGTTTCCATTAAACTGACTCATGAGTTTAAGCTTTTTACCCATTTCCTTCGATACACAGAATACTTTCTCTAGATAACACATTTATAAACGGATTTGATAGGCTATTCTAAGAAAAATAATTAGTATTATTCTATTTGAGAGCAACTGTCAAATAGTATTATGTGTACGATATGTTTGTTGAGACTTACCATTATATAGGACATTCTGTGCCATTTCACTTGCAGCTGGGCATCTCGATCAAATGATATAACATGCACAAATTGTCGCCAATTAGAAAATCCTTCCAATTTTTTTGAAGTCATCATGCTTTCTTCTAACTTTATTGAAATACCTAATGTCTTTCAATTTTCATGTTGTATTGAGGATTTTCATGAAATAACTACTTATAGTAAAGCATATTTACCAATAAATTTTGAATCGTTGAATTTGATATCCAATTTTTAACATCGTGCACATTTTAATTTTAACAAGATACTCACTACAAAGCAATTTATCATTCTGAATATTTTTCAAATATTTTAAATTCTTATTTAAAGAAAACGAAGCCAACCCTCCCCCCAACATTCCTAGAGTACATCAAACTTAAATTAAGAAAGTTATGCAAACAATCATCCTATCCCCGCAAATTTGGATAGGACTTAGCTTAACAACATAATTCAGGTCAGGTGATGGATTTGAGCAATAGTAGCTTGATCTTATGATTGATTAAGTTTGCTTGTGTGTAGCATTCATTGCACAAACGAGATCCAAGATTTAGGGTGCGGTTTGGATCAACTTGCCATGTCCCCAAGGCAAGTGGTGTAGAAACTTCATAATCAAAGACCATGTTCTTGATGGGTTTTTGAGTATTATCAAATTGATTTGCAGTGGTCATCATTGCGAATCGAATAGCTGCAAGACTCCAATTAGGATGTGTAGCTGTTAGGAGTTCAGCAATTCTAGATATACAAGGACAAGCCATTGATTTACGTGACTGGAGTGTGTAGTCACTCTCCAAGACTGTGTTGTTATCAATTCTTGCTACATTAGTATTAGGATAGTAGGCTGCTAAGATTAACACTCCTAGTGCCGATATATCGGGCTAGGATGTCTCGATAGTTTCATGTAGGATCTCTTGATAATAAATTTGATACTACTGGGGAAGGTCTAGGCTCCATTCCCAATATTGTTTGTTGGAACTNCGGGCTAGGATGTCTGGATAGTTTCATGTAGGATCTCTTGATCATAAATTTGATACTACTGGGGAAGGTCTAGGCTCCATTCCCAATATTGTTTGTTGGAACTCGATGCTTACCTATGGGTTTGCACTGTTAGATGCAGAATTGATCATCTCTTTCGCATCTTGGAGAAGTAATTACTACTCCAGGGTACAGTAAAGGATATGATCCAAATATGCTAGTATCTTCAGAGATGATTATAGCTGAATGAACATTGGACTCTGAGAGATACAGCCACACGAAAAAGATATCTATTGTTTCTTCAGATTGATTACATACTGTTGGATATTTTGATACCAAATAAACCTTGGAGCGATGATGCATAATGGGGACGGATATTAGATTCAATTAGTTTCGTTGAATACTTATAATTGAATGCACTTAAGCGATATTGGGTTGAAAATCGCACTTGGTAGCCCAAGTTACAAAGAACCAAGACCACTCAAAGGGCTCGACCCATTACTTGACCTATTATTATTACATATATATATATATAGGTGTGTGTCCGTTGTGTTTTGACACAACACGCGGCACTTCTTTAGATATTCTTAAGACCTCTCAGCTACGCTTCTTTCTCTTTTGTTTTGTACCTTGTAACCTTGTCTCTTTTACCTTTGTGGTTGTGCCTCCTACCAATGATTTGGGCACCGATTTTATACTTTTGTTCGTGTGTTTTAACATTTGTTTGTCGTCCCATTTCACGCCTTATTTTGTTGCCTCAGTGCATAGCTTTGGCCAGGTTTTGTATATCCTTTCTGATCCATTTTGAGTAGGTAATCTGTCCAATTTGTGTGGAATTGCTGTGTGGTTTTTAGCTCTTGATCTAAGCCTCGATCCATCCACTTTTGATGCCAATTGTTTGGAGCTTTGATAGGGAAGTTTGATTCTTGATTTTTTGTCATTCTAAGATTTTCTGGCCATATGCCATTGTCAATTGGAAGTGTGCTCTATATTCAATCAACTTTGGACATAAACATTTTTAATATATAATTGATACATATTTATGGTAAGATCTATTATTTAATTGAATTAATGTTTCTTTGTAATTTGTTAATCACAAGAAGTTATGATTGTAAGATACAAATTACATATGGTTGAATCTTAAATCATCCATGGTCGTAAGTAATAATGAGATACGGATATCGTTATGAATAGACTATCACGTGTGGCATTTCTTACTTGTGACGTAAGTAGTCGATCTCACAAGTTAAAGTGCGGTGATACTTAAATGAACATGTGGATGTTTTTATTATAGAATAAAATATTGGAGACTTGCTGGGAAGATTCCACATGAATAACTATCTGAGTGTCAGTGGTTAATCTCTAACGTTCGGTAATGAAATTTGCCTTTTGACTTGAGGTTATCATAATATCTTATATAAAGACAATCATATGTTGACGATGTGGATGTTGCTCTATCGAAGGTCGATAATATGATATCGTTCGGGTATGTTAAGAATCATATGAAGGTTGTGAATGATTAAGAGAGGATTCGTCATTTTTAGATAATAAGAGATTATGATATAGATTTCATTCAATTAAGTTAATAACGAAATCATTGGCTAATGTGTATTCATAAGTCGAAAAAGAGTTTTCGACTTATATTGACTTAATAGTGAGATTGAAGATATGATTGATAATTGAGATTGATACATATCCATATCTCTTAATTGATATGATCATATTGATGAAGTCATTATAGTTTCACAGTAAACAAAAAATTTTGGTTTTCCCATACGACGTGACATTTTTCGTCACATGTATTGTCCTGATACATTGTTAGATGTCAATTTGGGACGACGAATGTGAATTGATGATAAATTAAAAATGAGTATTTTAATTTATTGATTTTGATTAGATCAAAATCAATAATTTACGTCGTTATGCATCATGATCGGGAATCTAATAGGTCACACACAAAATGAGAATCAGAAGAATGAGATTTCAATTAATTAATTATCTAACAAGTGTTGTACAATTAATTAATTGAGTTGTTTGTTAATATGTCTGAATTAATTAATTGGATGGATTAATTCATAGACCAAATTTAATTAATTGGATTAATTGAATATAATACCTTTTATAGATTCTGCAAACTCCTTTGATGATCTTGGAACATGAACAAGGTAAAATTTATATCACAGTTTATATCTAAACACAAAAATTTTTTTTGGTGGGAATTAAAATTTGTTTTATTTTTCGCTATCTAACATCAAAAACCCCAATAATCACATCTTTACCATGCCAGATGCTGGCCAAATTCCTGTGGCAGTATTGAGAGAAAGAAACTTGTAAGTATTAGTGGTGTCGGGGGTCACAAAACCATCGGGATAAGCCAAAAGTAATCGTGGTGACTTCTTCAAAGCTTCCAATTCATCAGTGGAAATTACTTCACCGAATCCATGAAAGGCATGATCATATGTATATACAAGCTTTGGTGAATGATTTTGACCATATCTAATTAGGTGAATCCAACTGATTTGATAGTTTGAAGAGTGGAAGAGTACCAATAATAGTGACTGGAAAAAGCCTTAGGCATCAAAGATTCGTCCATGTGGACAATATAAATGGATCTTTCTGCTGAAGCCAGCAAAACCCATGAGAAGAGGAGGATCCTGAATGCCTTAATCGGCCCCATTTTTCTTTTTCTTGGAAACTAGTTCTCGTGGCACCTCATGAGCTAATTTTATGCTGTAAGAGTAAAAATTGGCTTCCTGAAATGGGTTCTCTGAATTGTTAGGGTTAATTTCACAAGCGGTCACTGAAGTTACACGAAAATAACAAAACGGTCACTAAAATTTAAAACTTGCAGAAATGGTCACTAAACTTTCATGCGGTTTCAAAAACGGTCACTGAACTTAGTTTTGGTACTATTATGTTTTAATTCAAACCTAAAGAACCAAAACACGTGGACATAGAAGCTGAAGGACCTCAAGTGCAAAATTCAACTTAAAATCTCCCCTACCTAAAACCTAGACCATCACTTTTCGCGCCCCATTCCACCACATTCCGGCCACCAAAACCACAGAACCAACACACCATCTTGAAGCCCTCGCATCCCTCTACAAAACCAACCCAAGAACCACCCCTACCTCCGACGGTGGTGGCTGGAATTTCGTCCCAAAGTGGGCCTCTCGCACAGCCGACAGTTTTGTGCTGTGTGAGAGGCCCACTTTTGGANCACTTTCCGTCCACCAAAACCACCGGAACAACACACCACCTTGAAGTCCTCACTGTCCTCTACATAACCCACCCAAAAATCACTCCTAAATCTGTCGGAAAGTGGCCGAAATTTCGTCCCAAAGTGGCGGGCTCGCACATGACCACAATGCCAACCGCCACTTTGGGACCAAATTCCACCACTTTCCGGCCACCAAAACCATCGGACCACACACCATCTTGAAGCCCTCGCTATCCTCTACGCAATATACCCAAGAATCACTCCTAAATTTGCCAGAAAGTGGTCGAAATTTTGTCCCAAAGTGACGGCTGGCAGTTTTTGCTGTGCGAGCGGCCCACTTTGGGAAGAAATTCCAGCACAAAACTACCGGCTGTGCGAGAGGCCCACTTTGGGACGAAATTTCGGCCACCACCGTCGGAGGTAGGGGTGTTCTTGGGTGGGTTGTGTAGAGGGAAGAGAGGGCTTCAAGATGGTATGTTGGTTCGATAGTTTTGGTGGCCGGAATGTGTTGGAATGGGAGGCGAGATTTTAAGTTGAATTTTGCACTTGAGGTCCTCCACCTTCTATGTCCACATGTTTTGGTGCTTTAGGTTTGAATTAAAACATAATATTACTAAAACTAAGTTCAGTGACCATTTTTGAAACCGCATGAAACTTCAATGACCATTTCTGCAAGTTTTAAACTTTAGTGGCCGTTTTGTTATTTTCGTGTAACTTTA